CCTGTAGAGAAATTAACTGGAAAACATTTTAGAATCTGTTCATGTCAATGGATTTGATATGTGTATTTAAAATATTCTAATCACACACTGATGAAATAAACACCATTGTGTTCATTTCAAGTAATAATAAGACACTACCATCCTTTTTGCCTCAGACTGTGCAGCTTTAGATCTCTAATTCTAATGTATATTTATATTCATCCTCTTCACTCTCACATCATTCCTGGTGCATTATCATAACTTCCAAATTGGTTTTCCTGTCCTGATTCTCTCGTATCCTATACTAGATTAATGATGTGAAGTACTCTCTTTATCAGATTACTTCCCTTTCTCAATACTTTTCAACCATGGCCCATATCCTTTTTAACCCAAGATCCCAGTCAAAACAGTGCAGTCTCTCTAACCTAATATATCCATCCCTAAATGGGAAGTTATCTTCCAGTCAGTCTTACTCTTCCTCAAGCATACATTGTATCATCTTATCTTGTTTTCTATACCTAAAATTTTCACTAACCTGCCACTATCAGAATGTCGGGCATTATTTGTCAACTTTCTACTCAACCACCACTTTATCCCTTCTCTGTATAACTAACTATACCCACAAGATGTGGTTCTTCCTTCCTCCTTCCCTGTCTTCCTCTATATTCTAGTAATAATTATTTAATTCATTTTGATTGCTTTTGATTACTTATTGTATATACATATTAGTAGTCCCTTGTATATTGATTGACACATTGTGTTACTTTTATCAGTTTTTACTCAAGCCATGATGTATTTTGAGCTTCCAGTTAACAGGGCATTTTTTGAAAATTTTTGCTACTATGTCTTTTACTCCATCCTTACACACACACACACACATACACACACACACACACACATCTCCTGCCCTTTTCCTCCTCATCTGCATCTTTCAATCCATCTCTCCCTCTCTCTCCCCTTTCTTCCCACTCTTCTCTCTCTCTTCCTCCATATATACAACCTCTCATACACAGAGCTACCATACTAGCATTGCTCCTTGTGTGCAGTGAAGTTTTATGATTCTTGAAATGAAATCACATGACACCTTAATAATTTAATGAAGTTCCCACCATCATTAGCAAGGACTGTAGTTGTTTTATACTGGAGGGATTGGTATTTAATTTTATTCTTTTACTTAAAAAAACCCTACAAATTCCTTGAACTTGAAACACTTTTAAATTCTAGCCACCTGGTAATCTAGCTATTTAATAATTTTCATTTCATGAAGCAGCAGTTATACAGTATTTTCATTAAGATTAGAAACATTTTCTCAGATAATATATGAGAATAGTGAGAATTGAAAGTACATAATCTTCACCAGTTTGCTTTGAACTCAGTATTTTAAGTGTCAGATACTGAAGTGTGCTATATTTTTTTATATTGGTCAACTCCCAAGAGTTGAATAAATATTTGCTCAAATATCTAATCCACAATAATGAAATATAAATGAATTAACTTTATCCTTAATGAGTCTGGTGGACATTTATTCTAATCCACTAACATAGCTTGTTTAGTTAATTTGTACTCCATCCCTCTCTTCCTCTAACTCCTACCCATATACATAGATCTTACCCAATGAATCTATGACCAAAAAAAAAATATATATATATATATATATGGGATAATTGGTAGGAATAACATCCATAATCCATTTGTGGTAAGAGAGCTGTTTAACTCTCCATAAGCTAACAATATAAAAAAGTTGCCTCAACATTACTTTTCTTCCCTGTTTTTACATTATTTCTCTAACCTCTCACCCTTACTTTCCCTCTACTGTCATAATGTATTCCTATGGGGGATAATCTCTTCTCATGCTTTTGTCCCTTAAAACTTCTTTTTAGTCCATAAACACAAATAGGACACATTTCACCCCTTACTAGCAGCACAATCCATTTTACCTAGAAAAACCCATTTTATGGCTTTATCTGAAAACCAACATTTCTCAAATATTCACACACTTCCCTCAAAGCCTTAATGACATTGCTTTTTCTCTGACTGCTATATATCAGTAGCTAATTCCAAACTCTTTCTTCAGTCTCACTTACACCATTACTCTGTGTGAGAGGGAGACATACCCTAAAAACTAGGTTCCTTGACATTTCTCAAATACATGCCCTGGGCTTTCTTGCCTCTTGACTTTACTAACCCTATTCTTCTCCCTAGAAAACCCTTTGCCCCACTCTTTTCAACTAGAACCTCCATCTTTTTATGTATGAGTACTGACTTCGTAGAGTCTATAATCATTGAGAAAATGATGGTAAATTTTGTAGGTGTTCTTAAATACATTTTTTTTAAAGGAGAAGTTACATATTTTTTTAACACTTTCTCAGAAGGAGGCCAAAAGCCCCCTTCCCCACTAAAACTTAGAGAACGTTGTTTTCATTTTCATTTACCTTTATAAATTACACTTTTATTTTTGTTATATATAGCTTTGTTTTCATAGTTGTGCATTTATTCATATATATGACTACCTAACCTATCTCTCTCACTACATCATAATATCCTATACATTATGAGACTTTTTTTTATCCTGGTCCCCTGTACACTATTTTATATATGTTAGGTACATAATCACTTATAAATAGATCTCGTCCTTTAAAAAATGTAGTCAAAGCTATATGATCCTTTCATGAGATTAAATTTCTCTTCAACTTTAAAAAAATGAATATGATAAATACGTTGTTTTTTTTTTTTGTGTGTGTGTGTGTGTGTGTGTTTGTGTGCCTTTCTCAGAAATTCTTACCAGGTAGAGGTGAAAAAATATTCTGATTGTTCAAAGGGACAAAAAAGAACCAAAAGTCTGAAGGTCCAAGGCATTCTAGAAAGTCAGTCCACTGCTGGGGAATCCAATTTGACCCATGTCTCTATACTCCTTAACAGCCTCCCTCAAAACTCTTTAAAAACTGTCCAGAAGTGCTGAGGATATAGTCCAGTGGAAGGCCCTGGGTTTAATCCCAAGTATGTAAATGAGTAAATACATATAAGACAAAAATGAAAACTGGCCAGAAATGAGAGGATCATTTCCTAACAACCACACCTTCCAGGGAATCAAATAGAAATCTGGGACCATCACAGTACCAACTTTAAAATACAAGCAGACCTCTAAGAAAAAGATGTGTTCAGATCTTCTAAGATAAGAAAGTGATGGTTTATCCAACTTAAACTTGCTGCTTTACAAACCCAGATCATGAACATCTTCCTGAGTGTTGTTCAGCTATTATAGTTCCGATAATTTTTACTTTTCATTTAAACCTATAAGTCACAGGCTACAGATCATTGTATTTTTATTTATTAGACTGAAATCTTATCTCAAAATTTCCACACTCAAACTTTAAAGAAAATGTAGGCATTTTAGCAAATTGCAGTTTGATTCAGTTCTTCTTAGAAGTGATTTCTAGTCACACGAATCTTTTCAGATGTTTTTAAAGCAAGAGCACTTATTGATTGCTGCTAAGAGATGTCATGTCAAAGTTCTTTAGTTTTACACTTTAAGATTTTGGCAAAGTGTTTATTAACTCATTTCAGTTGCATTGCTCTAAAGTGCATCTTTTTTCACTTATGCAATATCACTTTCTTCTGTTTATTTTTCAAGTATAATGATAAACTATATTATTTTCTTATCTGGCAGAGAGAATGTTTTAGAACCAGTCTATATAGTTTTGTGATCTCAAAAAGAAAAGTTAATAGAATAAATTGTATTATATAGTTTTATGAATTAATTTAATATTCATTTTAAGAATATTTTCTATAAATTCTTATAATATTCTGCTCCATATTACATTTTAGTATAGGGAAGAACTCGCAATGTGGGAAAGTAATATAAAATAAAATTAAAGCTATTAATTCCCAAGTTGTTTATAAGAAAATTAGATTTCATGTTGATATAATTGATACTGAATGTTCTATCTATAATGTGTTGTATGATAAAGAAAATGGAAACTTGGTAAAAAAATTTAAAAAAAAAGACTGTTATAGATAACAGTTATCTTCTATCATTTTTCTTTGGGAGGGGCAGTATGTTAAAATTTTAAGACATTATTAATTTCCATAGCCAAAGTAAAGTGTCAGAAAGTTAACTATATATTAAAGCATTAAATATTTTTATAACTGCTTATACTAAATTGATGATGTGATCAGATTTTCAAAAGTAATAATATATATTTTCTCTTAAATTGCATAATGCAATTTTAAAACATAAATGCAATGCTAATATTGATAGTATAACCCAAAAACCACAGAGCATTTCAAAACTGTTTATTAACAGAATGTGCAATAATAATACTAGGAGCTGAAAGATAAGCTACCATTAAATATGAGGTTATCATGAGTATGTGATATTTATCATTGGCCCTGCTACTTAGTAAAATTACGAATTGAGTAAGATTTTATTGTTGTTCATAATATGCTAAGATTACATGGAATAAAATTTTCTGTAGTTGCCCCTTTTGTTTGTTGGCTCTGAATTATTTTCTCTTCTACATTCCATTTCTGCTGTCATTTCTAATATTTCTGCCTTACTACCACATCCTAAAATATAACATAGGGGCCACAGTTACATATGAATATTCATTCATATGTATGACCCTTTACTTTCAAATTTTAATACAAGACTAAAAGAGGGATATATGGATTTCATAGCTTTCAAACATCAAGTAAGGATTTTTTTGTACATTTGCATTAAAATGCTAATGCATATTAAGTTCAGAATCTATTGCATGATTTTTCTTTCATGACAGAATAGAACAAATATTAAATACTCTTTGGGCGGGAGACTATTTAGAGAGTGGTTACTATCCCACATCTTGAACTTTGAGTCAAGAATGTTTTCTCATAGCTAGAAAAATCCACCGGGGTTCCTACTCCTCAGGTCTCCATACTGATTATAATTACACAGTGTTCAAAAAGATTTACTTTTGTGATAGGGCTTATTATTAATGTGCCTATTTTTATTTTATTCTCTGGGTGTGGGGGGAAGAAAAGGGGAAAACACATTTAGTGATAGCTATTCATTAGCCACCATTGAAGAAGGGATTAAACTTTAAAAGAATCTATCAAAAATCTCTGGTCAGCCTTTTATTACTATCTTGTCTTGAGCCCTTTTTTTAATGACATCTATTATCAGATTGAAATGGCGATTGAGATTGCAAAAGTCTGATGGTCTGTCCACTCACAGAAGCTCTCTTCTCAACAGCCATGTAAGTTGCCTCTTCTTCTTGTAAACTAATCTCTTGCTTGTTCTGCATGTGTTGCTTGCTTCTAAATGCTTGTTTTGTTTATTTACTTATTTTGCTTCTTAACCTTCCTTTCTCAGCCCTTTATGATCCTTGAACTATTAAATGGCTATTTTGTACAGTGGAATATCTCAACAAAAGTAGAGACCATGGTGGACAGCTTTATTAGATTTTTCTACTGTTTGGGTGCAGATACAGTACTTTCAAGTTAACAACAAGCTGTCATTTATTTGTGAAAATCAATGAATAGTTATTTTTAAATGTTTAAAGTTTTCTAGTTTGATATTTATTTAGTATGAAGCAAATACTTGCAATCTAGATCTCTGTCAGAGATATAGAAACAGCCAAGTCTGCTTGTGTGACTAATAAAGTCTTTAGTGGATAAAAAATTATTAATGACAAATCCAGTGGTTATCTATTTGAAAATGATTTATTTACCAGTAAGACTAACTATGGTGGATAGAATACAGCTGCATAGATAGACTCAGGTCCTAAAAATTAAAGAAAAGTGAAAATGGGCCAAAAGAAAAAGTAGGGTTTTGGGTAAGCCATAAAGTTGCTAATAATAATAAAGACAATAATAATCATAAACTGCTAATAATAATGAAACAGAATTACCATTTCTATTCTTGAAAAATCTTCACCATTATCAGATTCAGCATCATTATGATACTGGTAAGTGTTAAGAAGAATGATGAAAATTTTGTGAAATGATAAATATTTTCATCAGTTGTTGAAGCTGGGAAACCATTTGAAAATGCTGATTAAAAAATTACTTTGTTAAAGGTGATTTCTGAATACATCAAAAAAGTGAATAGAACTGTGATTTAAATCTATTTTCAATAAATCTGTTAAATTAATGTTAGTGACATTTTAGTAAGAATTACAGTTTGTCTTTCTAATTGATGATGTGTTCTTAAATTTAGGGATGAAATTATTATGATTTCTTAATTCTTCTGTTGCTGTGATTGAAAAGTTTAAAATCTGGATCACCTACATGAAGTAATATTTTTTCAATAAACCTAAAATCTTTGGTTCACAGAAAATATTTTCGTTATGCTTTTTAAGTATTTGAACTTTGAAACATGTAAATTTTAAATTCCCAAAATAACACTACCTCCTTATGTTCTAACACATTTGTTTTTAGATGGAGTATTTTGTCTGGTTTCTTCTTTAAGGGAAAGTTTCCTGGCAAACAAAAACAAGTTAGCCAACTTGGAAGATGCCTGTAATATTGATGAAAATTATACTTACAAATTTAAAATTCTAGCATATATTTTGGTGTTTCTGAAATAGTTTAAAAAGTATTATTTTCTCCTTTCTCTAAATTTGTGCTCTTTTATGTATTTTATAAATATATCCCTGCTATAGTATGATGAGTGTGTAGTTGTGTTAAAGGCTAATTTACTATATTCTTGTAAGCTGTGCATATGAGGGGAGGGATGATAACCAACTGGTATTTGTCTTTAGAAAATGGCAAGTGAAATGAAACTGTTTCTTTGTGTCAGAAATGTTCCAAGAACATTAGAAAAAATAACAAAAACCCTGAGGTTTCCAGTTGTTCCTTTTTCAACTTTTAGACATCTAGTTGTGTTGTGCTTATTTAATATTCAATTGATGTTTCGCTTTTATTAGAAACATAGTATATTAAAATATATGATGTGCTTAATTTTAACTCTAAATTTTAATTACCTAACTCAATTAGTATTTTAATGAATAATAATATAGGTATAAAGATATGTTTTTGTTTATTTTTTAATTTGTTTGAGACTTTTCAAATATATTGTAGTTTTCAAAAATTATTTTTATCTTGTTGAATCTGTGAACTAATAGTTTGTGTTAATAAGTGTGAATTAAGCCATATAAACAGTAGACAACTATTTTTTAATCGATGGCATCATATTTTTTTATTATATAGTATGGCAAATCTTCCATACTTTAACTGCCCAAGGCATTTCAATATTTAGAAAGGAACCAGCACAAGTGTCACTAATGTAGTGATAATCTTTGTCTAGGTAGCCTGATTCATTTGTATCACACCTCTGAAGTATAGTGAAGTTCATTCAAAACCACATTTATCATTAAGTCTTTAGAGATACAAATGGATTCTACAGATGGTTTGTTAACAGTAGAAACAGGATCAGTGCTTTTGTTAACCAATGCAGTTAGTTTCTCCCTGAACATAGAAAAAGATCCTGTTGTCTTTTTGTCCTTGGAAAGTTAACATGCTCCTGATTTTTATTAGATTTATCCAAACAGCTGGAGTAATCTGCATGCCTTCTAGTTAACCTTGGAAAGAATGTTTTAGATTCTGTGAACTTTTTGGTGATTTTTCTGTTAAATAGAAATTTTTTTCATTGGAAAATTATTTTAAAATATTGTTAATATATTAAATGTCAAACTATGTTCTTTATTCTTCACTAATAGGATATAATATAGAATTATTTGAGGTCTGCGTGATTCTTTAAGGTAGACATGAGTTCAGCTTAACAATGATGAAGTCTTCAATTTCTCAGTTTCTAAAAAGTATTAATTTTATTAAGAAAAAATTTGTAGGAAATTATCACTAATATGTATCCCATATTTACTAGTATCTAAAGAAAAGTGTGAATCATGACTCTTGAACTGAGAAGTCTTCTCATTCTATTTTGGGATATGGAGTACAAAGGATTTCCTGTTTTTTTCTTTATACATTTGATTATTCACAGTAATTAGAAGACTCTTATTAGGAGCAAATTCAGTGGATCCTGATAGTTTGCTTTGCTTTTCACCTTTCTTTCCACACATTAGGAGAGGGGTGGGACATGAAATTTTATATCCCATTTTTAGCATATTCTTGAGTGTTTATACTGCTGATCTGTTTTTAATATTATACTATTATCACATTGATGAAAACACACATATAACCTACTCATTTTGTATACTAATGTGATGAGTACAGTTGTACTATGTGCAGTGACTTATTCTACTAACAATATTAACATGATGGCAGTTATTTCAGTACTGGTGTTTTATAGAATGTCAGTAAATGTTTGTTGGCAAGAGAAAGTTCTAAGGGACTAAGGATTTTGTATATTTTGTCTACCAAGACAGACTGTGCACCTAGACCAGTACTAGACATCATGAATGCTCATTAAATACTTGCCAAATGAATGAATACTATAAATAATAGAAGGGAGCAGACCTTATCTTACCTTTTAGTGTTCTAGAATGACTGCTAGTCCTATGTTTATTTGGAGACTCATATGCATTGTTTTCTAAGTGTTCTTCAGTAAGCATATGTGTGAGCATTGTTGATAGAGGGTGGCCTCTTCTGATATACTAAAGAAAAATATGTGGTCACTCTATCATTTTTCTATGCGTAGTCTTTAGTTTAAATGTAGACAACTTTTTTTTTCTTTAAATAATCCAACCTTTAAAATGTTGCAGTTAATAGTGACATCATTTATCTCCTTATATTTTAGAATGGTTCTTTTTATTTGGCTTTATAGAATTCTCTTTGTACAATATCTATTTAAATATTTTTATTTCTAATTAATTTCTATTTTTTTGTATGTGAAAGTGCTACCAATAATATATAATTTGACTAAATAAAAATAGAATAACTCTTTAAATTGCAGACTAAAGTTTATTTTATACTCCAACTTATAATAAATATAAATTAGTATTTAATAGAAATATTGCATCCAATTTAGGATAGATTATAAATTTGAAGTCACAAATATTCATTGTTTATAACTTTCACATTATGTTCTGAGATATATATTTAAAAAATTTCACTTAAAGCATATTAAAAGCTGCATTTATTTTATATATTTTTCACATTCTATCAAATAATTATTTCATAAGTTTGATGAGTTTAGCTACCAAAACATTCAGTTCAAAGCAAAACATTGTTTTTTACTTATTATCTCTTGACTTTGCTGTATTGTAAATATAAATTGTTATGGAAATAAGTCCTTTCTGATGCATTTCATCATTGAATTGAACTTAAAGTAAATCCTAATGGATAATCTGGGATAAAAAGTCCATTTGGAATAAAATGCCAAATGTTACATTTAGATGTTAAATAGGTAATGCAATATTTATTTAGTTTTATTTGTCAAACAGTATTTCCCTTTAGGATAAATAGGAACTGTTCATCTTCTTTAGGATGCCCTGATCAATATAAATTAATGCAAGGGCTGAAAGATCCCATTTTCTTGGTTTCTACCCTAAAACAAGTATATTTTAGTTCATTAGTAGAATAATCAGATTTTAAAGATAAAGTTTAAAAGTTTCCATATTTTATGGGCTTTTAACATCATAAATGTAAGCATTTGCAAGTCATTTTACAAAAGAGTAAAAGAAATGGTAACCATTTAGTTCTAAATTACTAAATGTTTAAAAGCACTGAATTCTAAGGTCCAAATGCATTGTGTTAAAGAGAAAACTACAGGAACAATGTATCATATAAAAGGCATTAACTTCCCATGGGTAGCATGTGGAGCACATGCCTTCAGGTTAAATTTAAATTTACACAAAAACTTGACTGCTAAGTTTCTCCAATAATAAGAATTATTGGGATAATTATTAGATATATAAAATTATTGGGATGCCTTCTAATACTATATTTTATACTCAAGGTTTGTTATTTAATTTCATCACTCTTTCAAAACCTGAAAGTTAATTACTGGTATATAGAATTGAGATTATAATCCCCAACTATATCTCAAAGTCTTATCTGTTAAATTCCAAATCAGTTTCTGTGTACACAATGAGTTTCTAAGAGATTACTCCTCTCCCAGCAGCTGGAAGAGTGGTTGGCAGGATTTCTAGCTGGAACCCACAGGGCGGCAGAAGAACCTCCTCGATCCTTGCAGAGTGTTTATCTCCACTTGCCCTCTTTCTGCTTCTTCAAAGTGCTCTCTAGGTTTCTGGCAAGGAATGTAATTCTTCCATTTGAAAAAATGGATTAGGAAAAAAAATGTAGTTTTGCTACTATTAGAGTTATAGTCATCAAAATACCTATTCACATGAAACTTTTTATACCAGCTAGTCTAGATTATCATAGATAAATCAAACTCAGATTTTGAAAACTTGTTTAGGAAAAGAACTTTTAAGAATATAAGGTATGTAAGAACAATCAGTTTACAGAATACCCCAGATATTTTGACTTGCTTCAACATTTCAGAATGCTGCATAGCCAATCCAATGAATGCTTCATTTTCTCTGAGTCATTCATTTGAGATATGAATAATATAATTTAGGCTTCTAAGTAGTTTATGCCAACTTTTGCTATAATTATCTCACTGTCTCTGTGAGAAGTTTTATTTGATTAATATTGGTCTGATTAACTCAGATATTCACACACACAGAGAAACCAAACATTGAACTCAAAATTTTCTATATTGAACTTTAATGTTTGCACTAGTTTCTTCTTTTATAGAAAGCAATTTATGGGGCCGGTGTTGTGGCTCAGTAGTAGAGAGCTTGCCTAGCATGCGTGAGGCACTGGGTTCGATTCCTGGCACCACATAAAAATAAAAACAAATAAAATAAAGGTATTGTGTCCATCTACAACTAAAAGGAAAAAAGCAGTTTATGGAAATACTCTTCAAATATTTTATTATTCACTTATTCATTTTGTTTTTTTCAATTTCATAAAAATTTTTATCTGCAAAATAATTCTGATGATGATTATGAGAAATTAATAAGATCTGATTCAGATATTTGTCTTTGTTTTTAAGTAATTAAATGTTACAAGAAGACTAGTATACAATTAAGACAGTTTGAAACATTTTTATTTGTATTTAAGAAAATAATTTGTTACTTTATATCAAATTAAAATTATTTGCATTAGATCTATTTTTATAAATCTAAGTTATTTTACAACTTGGTTATAAAAAGTATATTCATATTGTAAAATTAACTATTCTGTTTCTGAAAAAAACTCTCAAACTAAGATTGGTTACATATTTGTCATCTATCTGTTCATTAGCAAGGAAAAGAATTCTGATTTCTTAACTCTTTCCTAATCATACTGTTGTGTCTTTGACAACATGATTACATTTTTACATTTTTAACTTACATAGATTGTGTATCACATGCTTTTGGATGTGGGAACTTGGTTAGTTTAGTCAAAAAATATTGCTATTTTTAAAAAAGTATTTGCATGTTTTAATATGTTAAGAGTACTAACAGAAAGCAGTCACCTTGCTCTATGGAGTATATGGATACAAAATTAGACCACTTTTAGGCAATATTGTTCAGTAGGGCTGCTCTAGGACCAACATGCTTTCAAGTCCTAATCATTTTAATGAAGCATGTGGATGAAATAGATGAGTCAGGTTTGTATTACTTCATTTTTTGTAGTCTCCCTCAGTTGGGTTCATAATTAACAAACTCTTAAAAACAAAAAACAAAACAACAACAACAAAAACAAACAAACAAAAAACCAAGAGGCATGCTAGCCCACTGTTATAGACAGAATTCTGGTTCAAGCCTTAATAACTTTAATCTTCTAATCAGGTTACCTCAGGTCTTTTACACTAAATGAATATGTATAGTGAACCTATTTTATATGTTGTTTAGAATACTCAAAAATCATGTTTAAATGACCCTGGAAAATTTGTTGATGTTATGGTTATAGATGATTCATATGAAAAGAATTCTTTTTAACTTGGAATATTTTTCTGTCCGTACAAACATGAAAATTTATCTTGTATAATCTTTTCAGAGTTTTACATTGGAGGGTTGTATACATTACAGAACTAATACATATGTTTAAGTGTACATATTCATATGCATATGTGTTCCATAGAGAACTGGAAGTCTTTCTGAATAGAATACAAATTTTATTTTTTAAAGTGATCTGCTCTGTAAGCTCAGTAGCTACATTTTCTAAGCCAACAGTTAATATGGGTTTAATGACTTACATTTGATTACATAAGTGCAATATTTGCAATTAACATGATTCTGAAAAATTCAATTAATTGTCATGGTTAAAAGCAATACTGAACATATTTTAAATAATTTTTTCTTAAAAGTCTGAAAGTTCAAGTTCTCATTTTAACCACAGATCTTAAAATATGTAAGCAAAATGGAGAAATGCTTTAACTTATTTAAATGTCCATTTCATCATTTATAACATTTGACTCTAAATTTCTACAGAAGAAGTGAAATTAAATTCATCTTTTTATCAGTGGATGCCTACCACATTGTTTGGGTTGTCACTGGCGATAAATAAAATGAATTATTTTATTTCCATAATTTTAATTTAAATGATATTTCATTTTAAATATTAATTGTTTATTTTACCTCTTATATATGTCATGGAAATTTTTTTGAGACAAGTAATATGAAATATTTGCTGCTTTTGTGAAACTGTTGTTCTAGTGTATTTAGGAAACTTGAGTTTGAAACCGTGCTCAAGCATCAAGAAAATGTATGACTTTAAGAAAAATTCTTGAAGTCTATTTTACTTCTTCTTTTGTAAGAAAGTAAATAAACAAATGAAAAATTTAATTTTGCTGAAGTTGAAATGTTACTGGATAAAATTTTCTAAAAATTCTATATTCTAAATTCTGTACTTTAAAGGTATTTTTCAAAAAATACAGGATAATGCAACTTTATAATGTGAACTATAGGTTGAAAATATTGCTTTACTACATGTCATTGTCATGTGCCTTCTAAAATTATGAAAAAACACATTGAGATAGAAATACTCATAATTATAAAACCAATTTTTTTCATTTTATATAAGTTCTTTGCCAATGTCTCATGAGTTTCTTTCCCTTTTGGGAAAGAATGAGTGAATTTTGTCCTTTCTGTTTTCAGAATTCATCCCATTATACAATGTTATTATTTTATTATCTAGAGGTACCTTGAGATAAGTAAATTATAATTCTCTAAAAGTGAATAGACTCTTTTTTTTTTAAAAGAGAGAGAGAGAGAATTTTTTAATATTTATTTTTCAGTTCTCGGCGGACACAACATCTTTTTTTGTATGTGGTGCTGAGGATCGAACCCGGGCCGCACGCATGCCAGGCGAGCGCGCTACCGCTTGAGCCACATCCCCAGTCCGTGAATAGACTCTTGATATAAAACCTCATACAAAGCAGTTTGCTGTTCATGTATTATAACAAACCAACATGAAACACACATTAGGTACCATGCTAGCAGACTTAGTAATGTGTTTTTTTTTCTATAACAATTAGAAATTTTATTTATGACTGATTAACTAGATTGTTTGAATTTTCTGAAGAAATATTTGTCTTCAGAATTACAAGTAATACAGGGAAAACTAGTATGTCTCTATATATGCTTGACTCTGTGAAGAAAAGGATATTGTCTAAGATGAAAAATGATGTTCAGGTATTTACACTGTTTCTGGAGGTTTTTAAAGCCGGATCTCTTCAGTCTCTGAATTTTAGCAGTTTACTCTTAGATTTAATGAAGAACTTTCAAGTATTTTTGCATATTGTGTTTGCAGTGGACTGGAGAAATTTTACAAACTGTATGACTTCTCTGTTTGCTGTGTCTTATTTCTACTAGCTCCAGTGGCTGTTGGACAATTATGAGACAGCAGAAGGAGTGAACCTTCCCAGAAGCACTCTGTATAACCACTACCTTCGACACTGTCAAGAACACAAACTGGACCCTGTCAATGCTGCCTCTTTTGGAAAACTAATAAGGTCAATTTTTATGGGGCTGCGAACCAGGAGATTGGGCACTAGGTTAGTACTGAAAAATAAAGTCATAAACTTACTTCCCCTTTTCAAATTACAGCAGTTTTGTGAATTGTTTGAGAAAAAGTACTTGATTACAGGAATACATAAGGGAAAAATATAGATTAAGAAAAGGAAAGTCACTGAATACTACCAAGCCAGAATGATATGCTGTCCTAAACACTGAGTGAGCAAAGCTTTGAGAACATTTGATTTTCAGCCTACATAGAAATTAACTGACTCAGGAGGGTGAGGTAGGAGGATCACCAAATTCAAAGCCAGCCTCAGCAATTTAGAGAGGCCCTAAGCAACTTAGCAAGACCCTATCTCAAAATAAAAAATTAAATGGGCTGAGAATGTAGCTCAGTGATTAAGTGCCCCTGGGTTCCATCCCTGGTACCAAAAGAAAAAAAGAAAAACATTAACTGGTAATGCAAGGCTTGCACATGATATTTTAAAAATCAATATGTGTCACTTATTTTTTTTAAAAACACTGAAGGTTTAGTGTTTGACATTGTAAATAGGAGACTATCTCCTGATTTTTACAAAATTATATTTAATTATCTTTATAATAACCTTATTTGAGTAGAGAAAAAATTAAAGCTGGGTTTCACTTCATTTCATGAAGCTAGGAGCAATTAAAAGTCATTTGGTAAATTTGCAAAATATAGGCATTTGAAGTCCTCTGTGATGACATAGATCATATTTTACCTCTTATTTGCCTTTTATTTATTTGTGTTTTCTGCTCTTAATCATGAAATTATCATGTGTAGAAGTTAGAACATGGTATAGTTCAATTGTATAGAAGCCAATAATGTAAAGAAGCACTTTTCAGTTTCTGTTTTCCTTCATTTGAAAATTAATGACTATTTTTACTAATCAAAGATGATGAAAAGAATACTTAGAACTGTGGAGTTTGTTTTTGTCTTTCCATAATTTCTACATAATGGAAACAAATATTTTATATATTTAGGCAGAAATATTTGGGTGTTTTTGACTTTTTAAACTTACAGAAATTATATAAAAATATTCAACATAGAGATACTACACTGTATAACTTTAGGTGATGTACCTTTAAATACTTATAAATAATAACCTCAGAGTTTTTTTTTTTTTTTTTTTTTTTTTTGGTAAAGAATTTACCAAAATAAAGAGTTTAGTAAAATAAAAAGTACCTTAGTAATTAACTTCATTATATATTAATTCCAAAGCGGGTCTTATGACCTATTTTCATGGGAAGGTCATCTAGTTTTTATGTTCCACTTCACGGAGAATTCATTCTACTTTCTATGGCCTGTTTCTGCCGTTTTCTCCTGCCAAGGTACATATTTTGGGATAGTATGTCTTGAACCCTGGCACTTTGTCGGTTTTATAAGATTTATAGGTCTTTATGCATTAGAATTCTGAATTATTCCATGATGTTGTTTTTTTTTAATGTATTTTTTATTAGTTCTAATCAGTTATGCATGACAGCAGAAAGGTCTTTGATTCATTGTACACAACTTTTAAGTAATAGTATGGCTTTTAGATTGCTGGAGGTTCAGTTCTCGCATAAATATATTTTCTTCTATCTATACTTCAAAATAGTAGTATATTTTAAACTACAGAACATGATTATCTCTTCAGACTAAAGGAACCAGTTTTCATTCCCTTGAAAAAAGCTTTTTGTTTCTTTAGTATTTTTTTAAAACCAAAATGAGGAAAATCATTATTTGGGGACCTTACCCTCTATTTCTGAATTGATAGCTCAGTAGTTACATATACTGTGCCAATATTTTGAAACTCTGGGCTTTATTCAACATTCTAATAGCTGTATTGTTGTGCTGCTTTTGTTACTGAAAAGGATTTCAATGGGTCCTATTTTGAGGCTCCATTCAAACCTTGAAACATCTTTAATAATAGAAAGGGATAAAATTGGGGTTGTTTGGGTTTGTGAATGAGTAGAATCCATGTTCTCTAAGTACATTTTACAATATTTCAGCTTTTACTTCTAATGTTCCCCCAATCCCCAACAATTATGTCTCCTGTTCCTTTTAAAATTGTGTTGTGTGTTTGCAATTGAGTTAGAATGCAAAGCCTAGAAGAATGAGGAGAAAATAAATACTATGCAAGAGTATGGGCTTAAACAAATGAGGTGTTATAAAGAGAGAGAATTATAATGTAGGAAAATTGACAGTATTAGTGGTAGGGTAAAGTCCCAAAGATTCACTCTACTATGGCATTTACTTTCTACTCCTAATCCAAGAAGTAAATCAATATAAATCATGAGGCAAACTAAATCAGCTATTTTTTAAAAATTTTTTTTAGTTATACATGGGCACAATATCTTTATTTTGTTTATTTATTTTTATGTGGTGCTGAGGATCGAACCCAGGGTCTCACATGTGAGAGGTGAGTGCTCTACCTTTGAGCCACAACCCCAGCTCCAAAATCAGATATTTTTAAAAAGGAAAAAAAGGTGAACTTTATGCCAGGAATGTTATGTATCAGTAGTATTATCTGTTGAAATTATTAGAACCAGACCACATCTTTTCTCAAGTTTGGGGGTCTAAGTAAACAACAAATAAATGAAATCACTGTATTTTTAAATAAAGGTGAATAAAAGGTACTGTTTTTTAGATCCCTTCTCCAAATCAAATTTGAGCAAAACTGACTATGGATATACTTCACTCTCCAAACCCTTTCCAGTGAATAAAAAGAACTTCCACTCCCTCCCAACCCAAGCAAAATGATGATATGTAGAAAATTGAAAAAGAACTAGATACTTCAAGAGAAACATCATTTTACTTTTCAGTTTTTCCCCATGATTAATGCCTTTTACCCCTACCTATGCTACTTGCTTTCTACCCATACCTATACTATATCCTTACCTTATACTATCTGCTATCCTTCAGTTTGTATGAAAAACACTACAAATTGTGTTTGTGGTATTTCTTGTTTGTATTTTTAGCTCTGTCTTTGGACTTTGGAGAGCAAGATCTAATTTCTGCAAGTGATTAGACTTTGTAGGCATTAAATTTTCATTTTTATTTAGCTGAAAGAGTACATATATTCAAATGACTTTTTTTTTAAATTAACAATATTATTTATGTAATATGATTTTAATGTCTTCAAATGTATAGTGTTCATATAATATATGTTAATCTTGGAAGTAAAATTCTACTCTATTTTTATAAAAACTATTTAATCCACATTCCTCTTGCATTTCTTTTTCTAAATGAAAGAAAAAATTGGAAAGAGCACTGATGTCTTGCTGTATATAGACTTGTGAAAAACTATTTTCTCTTTGCAAGAATTTACATATTTAAAATGTTATTTTTGCAAGAATTTGCAAATTCCATTCAGAGCAAAACTTGTCATTTCTAATAGCAAACATGGTCTTTCTCATGAACATGGGGAAATTGTGACATTTTTATTCCAGGTGGACATTTGCCATTTTCACAGAAAAATTTCCCCATGTCTGTTGTGATATATCTTATTCAGCCTACAAAACTGATATAAATTCACTAAAACAGAGACTAATAAAATGTGTTTCAAAATAAAAAATATCATCTTGTTTTAAGTTTAAAAATACTAATGTTTCACTACAACATCCTATAATAAATTTATCTTATTTCATCATTCCTATGATAAAGAGAAAAATGTTGAACTTGTCCAAGTCTGTAGAATTTTTCTTTGTTCTTAATTTGCCACTTACAAATTCATATTTAATGTACAGTCCTTTATCCTATTAATGAATTTTTGTTGGCCAAAACTGTTTTCCCACATTAAATTACATTTAAAATATTAATTTGAAAACAAAATACTTATCTTAGGGTCTTGAACTGATTGACTCAGAATCTTATTTTGATTCTTCAGATGTTCTCACTATAAAAACATAATAGGTATCAGGAAAAGATAAATAAAAAATATATAAGATTAGTATGCTGCTTTTACCTGATTTTTCAAAATGTGAAATTAAATGGACATTCCCTGTGGTTGATACTGGTTTGACTTTGTGTTTCCAATGTTGTTCTTTTATAAAGAGGAAACTCCAAGTACCATTACTATGGAATTCGTGTCAAGCCAGATTCTCCTCTTAATCGTCTGCAAGAAGATATGCAGTATATGGCTATGAGACAACAACCCATGCAACAGAAGCAAAGGTAGACTCTGGAGTTATCATTGATATGTCAAAGCTATATATTTCTAAGTTGCTTAGATCACTTTTTTCTGAACAGAACAAATACCTAAGTGCATATGAATGTGGCTGCTGTTGACAAACTTTCACCATAGATAACTTTTAAATGTTCTAGAATTTTAATGTTCCTGTTTTCCACATTTAAAGAAAATATTTATTCTTTCATCCTTTTGGCCCTTTTTAAGTTAAGTGTAACATCCAATCCTCCGAAACTATTCAGACAGGGAAGTGAAACATAAAACACAGAAGCACACCTAAGCATATAGCAGCAGGAGAACTTGTTTCATTATCATGAGCTTCTCACTTGCTGTTCTGCATATCATTCCTTTTGACTAAGTATGAAGTCTTGCAGAATGTTTGGGACTTTAACACTTTCTTTGAGTCCAACTTTTATTAATATAGAATTGCAGATATTGGAGTCATAAGAGATATGAAGCATTCATGAATGGATGACTGGATGGATAATAGGATAATATATCTTAGGAGTGAAAAATACCTCAATCTAGTCTGGTCCCATAGCCTTTTGACAATCAAAGCATTGGCAACCCTGCTTTACGGATGAATCCCAGAAATGATTTATTTGCACAAGCCCATAATTCCGTTTCTTAGCCAAAGACTTTCTAGTCAGTCCCATGTGCCTAATATCAAAATTTAGAAAAACAAAAACAAAAAAAAACCTTCCTCCTTTTACCAGCATCACTCAGCCATACCTGTAATTATTATTTTTTATTTCAACCTAACATATTGTATTCAGTAGGAAAAAAGGGGGTCTCTGCTTAAATCCTAATCCATTAATCTAGTTGACTTGGCCAGTTCTCCACATCCATACTAGTTTAATAAGAAGCACTAACTCTAAGACACTGATAGAAAAAGAATGTATCACACAGTAGTCCTTCATCTATTTAATCAGCAAACATTGAATCTCTTTTGTGTGCTAGGCATTGCATGCAGAGGATAAGACATAGTTTCTACCTTAGGTTAAAACATTAAAAGTAGAGATGTATGGGAAAATCGGGAGGGGAAAAGGAATGCAGTCTGAGACATGTTAAAATATAACTTTGGTCAAGAAACTATAAACTACAAAGTAATTTTCAGGAAACTCTGGAGAGTGAGGATTGGGAAATTTCATAGAGAAGTGCTCTTCAGTACAGAGAGACCAAGAGGAGTCAGAAAAAAAAGGGAATATTCAGGCAGAAGGAACATGTAAACAAAGTCACCTAGGGATAATATCTATGATGTCTTTAGTAAATGGCCCATGATTTAGTGAGGTTGGTATTGCAAAAGGAACATTGAAGAGATGACAGAATAGCTTACTGGGAGATGCAGTTTAGAAAGCAGTTTGGATCATATATTAAGGGATATAGTTGTATATAAAGCTAATAAGTTTGTTTTTGTACAGAACATAGCTTTGAAGCTTTTTAAGGCTTTGAAGCAAAACAATTGAACTTTGATTTTTTCTAGAGTGATGACTTTTTGATTTGGGGCAAGACATATTTAATGGGAATAGACTGGAGGTAAGGATACTTGTTAAGTGGTTTTAAACACAGTGATAATTTCCAGTGTATGTATTCCAGCCTGCAGACTCAGTTCAAGATTTGCTTTATAAAGAGGTATCTCAAGAGTTTTAGATTTTTAATTCATAAATTCTCAATTTTGTTTTTAATAGTGGATTCATATTTTTTTAAATATAGCCAATGAAATATATTAAGAAGGAGTCCAAACAATTAACAGAATGAATCATAGAGTAGAACCTTATATAGTTGAAGATAGTGTTTGAATGAGTTATAATAAACTGTTACTTATTGTCTTGGATTATAATTTTTCTCCTATTTACTAGTAGCAGCGGCTACAGCTCTTACTTGCTGATGTGATCTCTACCCTCATGCATAGCAACATTACACATTGTGGCTATAGTGAAATAAAAAAAAAAAAAAGAAAAAAGCTTGATTCAAAAGTAACATACTCAAAATAATTATGAGCAAAACCTTGTTAAATTATACCTAAGAGAGCTAAAACCTACTTCTTCATATGATTTAGCTTTCATGAAAATGTAGGTTTTCATAGAACATTTTTTTATAAAAAGCCTAAAATACTCAAGTAGGAGCTACAGTTTCTAAGGTCTTCTATGAAACAGATTCCAGAGCTATCAAAGTTAAGGAGCTATGAAAACCTCTGCAACCTCCATAATTGCTTTTAGAAACAGATGCAATATGTATGTATTTAGGAAGTGATATAAAATTCTCAGTAATATTAATAAATTCTACCAACTTGAATTTCTTATCATATGCTTTCTTGTGAAATAAGAGTGTTAGGTACTGAACCCTCTTTTCATTCATTTGTGTTTTTGATGATGCAAGTTTTGTATTGTAGACGGTTGCTCTTGAAATTCTGTCTTGATAAATGATTGCATTAGCGTTGTCAATTGCACAGATTTCTTTATTGAGATGAGCAGGAAGCTTCAGTTGTCTCATTGAAGGAGACTCTTCACTGACAACCTGCGTAGGCCTCAACTGAACCCAGTTACTTCATTGTGTAGAAGTACTTGGATAGAAGAGAGTTTCTCTCCTTGCATCTGGATGTAAGGGTGAAGTTAAGCATATTTGTTTAAAATGATGGAAAAAGAACTTATTGTATCATTTGTTTTATGCCTTAAACAATTAAAAATTGATGATTCCAAAAGTGAAATGATTCTATTGAATGTATTACGATTTGTATAAGAAGAAACTTACACATGATGTTAAAATGCAAGTGATATGTGAAAGGTTTAAAATATTTTATAGCAGGTACTGGTATTTAATATGGCAGAATATTCAGATTGTTTAAATGCCTTCATGATTATTGAATATATCCATGTGGGCACATCTTCCATGTTATATAGTCACATGTTTCATGTGTTCTTATAATGAAAAAATTCAAGTATATTCAGTTATTATTTTGTTAATTAAATTCAGGTGTTTAATTTGTAAATTTTTCTAGTGGATTTGGTATTAAAGTACTTTTAGAGATGTAATTATTATTATTTTATATGGTTGTATATTATCTTTAGCTCCTTTATATGCAGAATCTTATTTGAAGATTAATAGGATCATAGAGGAAATTTCCACTTATCCGCAAATCATGGAACATAGCCATGAGTCTGGAAATAAATGGAAAGTGCTTCTGACTGAAAAGCAGATGTCACACAGAGTCTGTAGTTTCATGTACTTGAAAAGAAATATCCATCCTCAAACCATTTACTTAAAATAAAGGTACAGATTAAGGCCCACTTGATTCATAGGCAACCATGGAATACGACAGCTGGCAAAGGAAGTATAAGTGGACAGGGTCTTCTGCTTACTTTTGAGTTGTTCATTACAGTAGTTTGTTGATATTCAGTGGCGAACAAATGGACCCAGGCACTCCGGTAAGCCCTTAGAGTAAGATTCTAGAGAATACAATCTAGTCTGACACAATGTAAAAACTGCTTTGCAGATTGATGGCATTTTGGGTAATTAAGAAGAGGAAGAATGTATAATTTTAATAGCTTCTGTTGAAAACATCTCTTATAAAAATAATATTTGCATTTAAATGAGGTAATCTTAAGTTCTTAAAGAGATTCACTAATGGACTAATTTGCTTTCCCTAATTTAGACAACATTAATTTAGGTTATCAAAGAACAAAAATGAGATCAGTAATTTTCAGCTCTACAAACTAAGTAAAAATGTTTGCTTCAGTTTCTTTTTAATATTTAAAAGAAGTACATAAAGAATATTGGCACTATATTTTAGTTATTCTTCCAAATCCTAGTAGCAAAAGTAGTGAAATGAAGCCAAGTGTTTTTGACAATGTGCTTGTCTGTGTTTGATTCCAGTAGCCATTCTCAAAATATTAAACTGCATTTATCATTTCTTCAACAAATATATATATCAATTGTCAGTTGCATTAGAATATGTGCATCACATCTAAAAGAGATGGCACAGGATTCTAAATGCTAGAACCTGAAAGAAGAGATGGCCTAGTCCAACTCACTCTTTTTTTTTTTTTTTTTTTTTTTTTTTGTGGTGTCAGGGATCAAACCCAGAGTCTCTTGCATGGTAGACAAGCCCTTAACCACTGAGCTAAAATTCTCAATCCTCAATCCATCCTCTTGATAAGAAAATGGAAGTCCATAAAGGGGAATAACATCTGAAATCATATAACAACCTAGATAAGAACCCAATTCTCTTGTCAAAGAGGTAATATAATCTATTCAGAAACATATAATATTTTTTTCATAAAATGGAAGGAGAAAACACATTTTAATGAGTATATTTCAATTAAGTTAGGAAATGTGCTACTTCCTACCTATTTGCATGGTCTCTTCACAGGAATTGAATTCTGTGAAAGAAAGAACTTTTGTGGCACTGAAGGGGAAGCCAAGAGAGGTCCTGTGAAAAGATGTTATAGCAAAACTGTTTTTGCTTTGTCTATGATTATTTGTATTTATATAAGGAGAAAGGAAGTATTATTATTATTATCATCATTATTATAAGTACTAGAGAAATAATCTTTAGGAATATTCTGGTGCTTTGGAGGAAAATGCAGCCTGGCAATTAGACAAGTTTGGCTTCTGTTTCTTTATACTCTATGCTTGTGGTTTTCAACGTTGATTAATGTTAATAGTTTATAATTATTTTCTAGACCGTGAGTTCCCTGGGATCATCACAGAGCTAAGCATCTAGGGCAAGTAAATTGGTCTGAGGCAATGAGGGTGGCAGGCATCTTTAGTGAGATGATCTGGTGCCTGTGCATTTGGAGACAAATAAGAAATCTTGGCATTTAAAAATGTTCAATGTGCACTGTGGTACTCCATGATGAAATGACCATATTTTCCATTAAAGTCCGGAAAATTATAAATAATCACAACTCAGTAATTTCAAACTATAGTAATTCATGTAAAGTTTGATAATAGTAACAGTCACCACTAACTTATTCTCCTGATAAGT